TCTTCAATTGGACGAGTCTCTTGCAGAACAGGGATGAAACTGAGTTCTATCGAGTTTTACAGGCATATAACAGCACTCATAATTTATTGCGTAGTCTTCTAAGTTCTTGCCAATCTGATTAAGTCAGTATTTTTTGACCAGTGCACCAACTAATTTGCAATCGTTTGTGAATGTGAGTTTATATGATTACGTGTGTAGGAGAGACCCAAGATCTCTGGAGACGGACTGTGCCATTTTGGTACCATTATTTTTTCTTTGATTTTGACCCGGAGAAAACATGGAAACATATTGGGTCTTCAAGTAGACTGTATGAAACTGTATGTCTCCTTTTTGTAAAACCTTGGCATGTCTGATTATTTTCAATTTTGTTTCTAAGCGGCCTAAACTATCTTTGCTTGTTGTCGCCATTCGTGTGGGACCGTGAGAGAGAGGTAACACCACGCTCCTCCCCATGAACACGTAAACCGTCCAACTTGAGGACTTATTGCGTCACAATAGGTGAGTCAAGTATACGATTTGGAGGAAATGTCGATGGTCTAGATCGTTCGGTTGATAAGTGATTGACTCACTTTCAGGCCTCTAAAGACGCCATTCAACCGAAACGTCAGACGGTAAGTAAAATGTTCCTCTAAAAACCTGTTACGGCTCAAAACTGAAGAATATATTGGGTCTTTTTCAAAAGTTCTACCCGTTTTACTAAAGTCCTTCAGCTGCTGATTTCGCAGAAGAATATTTTTGAGAACAAAAAATGTGGAATTTTTCCCTTTTTGCTCTAATAACATAAATTCTACGACTAATGCTAAGAAAACAAAAATCTGTTGAAACATATGCGATCTTCACTGGGGACTTGTGCTACACATTCTCATCGAGATACGACTACGAAATCTCTTTTTATTTCATTTTTATTCCATCTCAAACTATAATTTTTCGAAAATTTTTCAAAAGTAGAGGGTTTTTTGAAGAAGAGGATTAGCGATCTGTGTCTAAATATCTTTTTTCTGTTGCTGCAATAATTTTTGATACTCACGAACTGCCGAAGATCTCTGAATTCTAGCACATTTATTAGGCGATGATCACTTCCAAAAATTGTTATTGG